TCCACACGCACTTACGATCTTGGCCAATTGTACTCCGTAGTATCTTGTATTTAGCCCACCATGATGTGAACAGAACAACAGACAGCTGCCCAACGGCGCGGTTTCCTGGTATTTGCGCCCTGTGCCCTATGCCTTCACCAGCTCGCGTTTCGTATGCGATTGGCAGGAGAAGTATCGGGACTGCAGTACTACTTACACTCGACAGATCCGAGACGGACAGTGAGCGAAGCATGGCGCAAGAAGGCACACCTGTTTGATTAGGTTTGACTTAGACTATCACGCAGTAACTATACGGCTCCACCTCTATCTCTAAAGATCCCGCCGTGCGCACTTACATGGCTTATCAGCCCGGAACACCTGATATATTGAGAGCTTTGGCCGGTAGTTCACGCAGCGATTAATCTCATTCGTCCTTCCGCTAATCACGAGAATTTACGGTCGATATGTACTAGTAGTACTGTTTCAGACCCGGCCAGGTGCCATTTTGAGATGAGCTTTACCTACAGCCCAGCCAGTGTTACCTGCCAGTGGTACTTGAACAATGTATATAATCACTAGGCATAAAAAATTGCCATACTGGCCCCCGCGGTTCAAAGATATCGTTCGATTAAAGCGTGAAGTCGATAATGAAAGTTTAGCTGCTCTGATATACATGATCGCCACTCCGTACTCGATCATCTTTGACCGATGAGACCAAATTGGCCCAAGCCGCCGAGCGTAGGGATATGTAGCTATTCTTCACCCACAGACAGAGAAATAGCCATAAGTATGAGTGCAACCAGCGTGCTCAAAGACTGCGGTTAACATGTGTCACACCGTGATCGAGCTGGCAAGACGTTATATGACTCCAAATCAAACGCTGACCTCTTCATAGAGTCCAGGAAGAAACCAAGCAAAGCGTGAGGTGGCAAAAGAGAGAAGAAGGATGAAACATATAGACCGTCCATCCTCTAGCAATGCCATGCAAGCAAACAACCCATTCAGGCCAACGATCTCTGGCAGTGGATTCTGGTTCTGTACAAGGTCGTGAATGTATTGATTGCACCATGTGAGGAAGCAACAGAGATATCCCCCAACTTATGGATGTGCGAGTAAAGCTCGTGTTCATATTTGGTTCTTCGCCCGGTCTCTTTCAGTAGGATTATACCTATTGGAAATATGAGTTTCCATGTGCATGTAATTCCAGCCAGGGGTTCACTTACCGTAGGAGTTTCTCTATCAAATCGACATGAGTCATAATCATTCTGCGGCAACAGTACCGCTTGCATCCAAGCTGATCCATGGCGTCACTTTCAAGCTCCAGTTAGTTTGTCGCCGTAGTTAGAAATTCGACTACCAATACCTACCCATCGGGTATACCCTCATCAAGAAGTTGGAGATAACGCTCCCAAAGATCTCCGACAACCTGGAATTTACGTTGCATGAGATCGAGAAGCGCAATAGGGTATCAAGTGCAACGTACCTTGCCGCAAGAAAAACAGCGGACGGGGATGATCATTTGGTCTGATTGTTTCTTCCGCAGAAAACGTTTTCCTGTTAGTAAAGTGAGTATAGAGGAGTCAGATTTATCAGAAAGCGTTTGGAATCTTGACAGCCGGAGAAAGGTAGGAATTGATGTTTCTGTCTTGGTCCCTTATTGCTGGTACTCACCAAAGACAATGAGTGCAGTTTTTGTCTGCCATCAAATTGCCCGAGACGTGCTCCGATTGAACAAACACTAGACCGCAGCCCCACTTGTTGCTTTTCTAGAACCAAAAATACCGCATATATTACTGTTTCTTAGTGTTAAATTACCGCTATTCTACAAAGGGAATGACCGCACCTGACAGGATGATAAAAAAAAAAAAAAGTAGACAACGGGACTGGAATTTTGTAGGCCAGGCCGTCATCAACACTATCGACCCTACTACGCCAGTGTATGGACGATTAACATTGGAGCCTTGGAGTCTTTAAGCCTTTATCACAATTCATCAGATTTCTATAGATTTCTGCCTTTTCCTCCATATCAACTTACCAATGCGCAATACTCAAGACCCAAAACGACCGTCAAAGAGATCCCGAGTTGGCGATGCGGCTTTAGGAAAGACAATGCAGATTGACGATACACGAGTCAAGCGACGTCGCACATCACAAAGCAAGAACGATATCAATAAGGCGCGTACGCCGGCCACAATCAACACAGAGGAAAAGCATGGGGTCGAAGAGCAGTGTACATTAGCCCGCTCTGTGTCTACTGTACAGAAAAACGAACCGCAATATGAAACTTGGTCGTCTACCAGCATGGTAGCTGGTCAGTACAGCAACCTAGATCCAATTTTTACGAGTGATGACGAGTAAGTTGAATGCCTACCATGCAATTGAAAAACCTTCTAAGCTCCTCTTCATGTTAGGTATCTCCTCCTTGGTCTCGAGACTGCAGTCCATGTCTATTCTCTTGCGACCTCGCGCCTTCTTCGAACACTACCATCGACAGCTGGAGATAGCATTACTGGATATAAACTCTCTCCATCGAACCCAAACTTCCTCTATGTGTTTACGTTGAGCGGTTCTGTGACCAAGTGGGAGTGGCTCTCTGGCGAACAATGCTCGTCTTGGGAAGTAGGTCACAAGACGATTTCTGTCGACGTGTGCCTTAGTGATTCTGGGAACGATCTATTGCTTTTCATTTTGGAACGCAAGGATGGAAAACGTGTGATCGCGCTCAATGCCTCCCCTAGCGACGCTTCACAATACATGATCATACTCGAAACCCATGTTCAGATCACTAACCTCAAGGTTGCATGCCAAGGCCAGTTTATTGTAGCATACAGCGACCGGCATGTGTTTTTCGGCTGGACAGGGCTTGTTCAGCCTTCCGATTCTGTTCGTTATATCTGGAAAGAGGTCAACTTGCCTGTCAGCGTCATGTGCATTGATGTTCGGCAATACACAGCGTCGAATCGCCCTGGAGCGCAGGGTTCAAAAGATCGGGATCATGCGGAAAAGGTCGATCTAGTCTTAGGTGAACGAAATGGTTCTATTCTCATATACTATGACATCCTGCGTTTTGTCAAGGATGAGGGAGGTCGTCAACATGAAAGAAACCTCACTCCTCGGCGCCTTCATTGGCATAGGAGTTCTGTGAACAGCGTGCGTTGGTCTAAGGATGGTAGGTCTTCCAACAAGAACATTAAGATGGAGACAATTTCACTGATGAACCTGTTCAACGAAAGGAAACTACATCATTACAGGTGGCCATGAATCGGTCATGGTGCTCTGGCAGCTGGACACCGGTAGAAAACAATTTTTGCCTCATCTTTCGTCTCCGATCGGCAACATAGTTATATCTACAAGCGGGAATCTATATGCCGTCAAATTAGCGGACAACTCGATTATTGTCCTGTCAGCGAGAGAATTACAACCTTTCTCTACCATAACAGGGTTGCAGCTGTGTCCCAAAACTGCAAAGACTCATGGCAAGATTTCACCTGAAGACCAGCCCCTGTTCGAGTGTGTTCCTGCTGCAATGCATCCACAGAACCTCGATCACCTTATTATAGCTGTACCCGCCTCTCGTCAGATGACTCAAGAAAGTCACCCCCTGGTCAATGCCTCCATGCTTCAAACCTACGATATCCGTACCAACAGCCATATATCCCGTCAAGCTCTTGCACGCGCCAACGCGACTACGTTGAAGATTGGCCCTGATGGCTCTCACATAGTTACTCCGGACGTTACCCACATCAGTGTTTCCAACGATGGTAAATGGATGGCCACCGTCGACAGTTGGAGCCCCTACATACGAGACATGCAAGCGCTGTATCATGGGGATTCAGGAATTATTCATCCTTCGGCTGGCTTCCAGGAAACTTTCCTGAAGTTTTGGAGATGGAATAATACTTCCAACCTGTGGGAATTGGTTACCCGAATTGACGGACCCCATTTCTGTGACACAGGTTCCGTGCGTGTCTTGGATGTTGCAGTACGGGCATACAGCGCGGAGTTTGCGACCATCGGTTCAGATGCAGTCTTGCGTTTTTGGTGCCCGAGTACTAGGCAGCGCAGTGGCTTAAAATCTGACAACCCAGAAGAGCCTATGGAAACCTGGAAATGTCGGAGAGCCATTGATTTGAAAACTTACATCGATGTCGGCATGGCACACTCACTAGGTGCAGCTTCCATAGAATTTTCTCAGGATGGGTCTGTTCTTGCCGTTTGCCTGGGATCCAATGCATGCCTCAACTCCGGACTTGCTATATTAATCGATGCGCAAAATTGCAGCGTCCGTTACAGCAGAGTCGGTTTATATAAGGGCATGCCCTGCGCGGCTGCGTTTGTCGGGTGCAATCTTGTTGTAGCATCCCAAGAGGCAGTCTCCGTATGGGATACAGTTGATGATATTGTCAGGGCAGTCAAATTGCCTGGGTCCGGAAGCGTTTCGTCCAAGCAGCCTCGTTTGTTGGCTGTAAGCTCTGAGACTAATACCTTCGCTGTGTCAGTACAGTGCCCACAGAATCATCAGCATTCAAAGAAGAGCCGTATGATCCGATCTTCTATACAGGTATACGATGTTCCCACATTAGCGTTGCTGTCGGAAACCACCCTTGGGCATCATCCAGTTGCTTTACTATCGGCTATGCACTCGAGTGATTATGTTGTTGTTGATGTTGCGGCCAACGTCCAGCGGATCGGCCGTCTTGATCAGAGCTTCCAGAGCAATGGTCATTCGCGCGACCTTGGTTCTCACCTTAACTCGGGACTTGGAAATCTGTTCGGCCAGCATGGTCGTGGGAAGTCTCAAGATCCACAGCACATTACTACTGGCTCGGACAATCAAATTCAGCAGAAAGAACTGGCTAACGTCTTCGGTGATGCGCCGCCCTTCGTTATGCCCCCCGCCAACATGATCTTCCGCAATGTGGTAGATGCTCTTTCTAGTTAGTTTCAGTTAATCAGGAAATAAATCTTGAGACAGACTATGATTTTACATCGTTACGTTGCTCTAGGTATTCAAACCTGTAATTTCACGTCCTTGCTCAGCTCCTTAAGAGGAGTTATGATGGCATACTTCAGTATTTTGTTCGGTGCTTACTTTCACTTATGCTGGACAAACTTCGCTGGGGTTCTGCTGGGTCTTCGCAACAGTTCATTATCTCCCCCATTCCCCTCCGTTGCATTCTATTCTATCATTTGTATAATTATTCTATATGTTGTGTCATTTTTAATTCCATTTCCATTTCCAATCACATTTTTATATATATATGTATAGCGGGGGGGAGGGTGTGAGGCGGATGGATGAGATTATCAGAGTATCCCGGCAGCATGCGTTATCTTGAGATACCTAGAATTCTTACTAGTAGGGAGTACGAGTAGCCCTGTACACCACTGGCACATATGCCCCAGTGCTTTGTATATGTAATCATAAACAAGATCATATCACATACCTAGATCAACTTCACGCTAATCTTCGAATCCTTCTTCGCAATTTGAAGATCCTAGTTCGTAACCACGTTAAAAAGAGCACCCATGTATTTTTAGGTTGTGATCTCCAGGTCTCTGGGCATGATTCTGACTGCGAAGTTGAAGGTTGCGGCTTGTCAGATACCTCCTTTTGTCCGTCCTCCAGATCTACGTCATCACCAGTGAACCTGGTCTGCAGATGCTGTTTCCCCCTTTGCTTTGTTTGCTTTTCCTCTGCCTTCATCTGTTGAGCCTCAAACCTCCATGTTTTAGCTGCCTCCTTCTCTTCGAAAGCCTGACGTGCTGCTTGTACCGTAGCCGCCCGAGCTATAGGGTCCATGCTCGTACGCGTCTTAGATCGGAAAACAAAATCCAAAGATGACCTAGATACCGGTGACGTTGTATCCAAGGTGCTTCCGTTGTCTCGTGAGTATCCGAAAGATGAACGGCCGGTTATATTCGTCTGAGAAACCCCAGGCGACCTCGTGGAAGAGCTATCATGAGTCTGTAGCGATAGTCGGGGTGTCTTGCTTAGATTGGTTGTGCCCGGCTTGAAGGACTCTAATCCTGACTGTGTCGGGGAATTGCTCCCCGCAAATGGATCCTTGGGAGAATCATCGCTCTCAAGTATGGATGTTTGGCACGATTGATTTAATGGTGGCGTATAAGCACGTGGAGCGAGACGCATGGGATGAACATATTGTGAGCCTGGTTTATTCATGGCCGAACTGCTGGCTGTGGACGCTTGGGACATTGCACTTGTAGATTGACGATAAAAAGCCGAGGGGCTTTTCCCCGAAGGAGGATGGCTAATTGTTTCAGTCCCAACTGCTGCCTTGTCGTATTTCGCAAAAATGCCTAAGCCTTCCTGTTCGAATGATGGCCGCGAAAGGTCGACTGTAGTCGGCGATGAGCCACCATATGATGCTTTCCTGAGTAAGGGCATCCGCTGCATTTTAATCCTCGCTGACTCGTACTTTCACAATGACAAAGATGATAAAGCCAGCCCAAGCACCCAATGTAGTAGTTATGGATATATAATGGACACGAATCTTCCAGACGGCTCGTGAAGTAAACACAGTTAAGCGGGTTTGCTCGACAAGATAAAGAGAAACACCCTTCCCTTATGGTGAACTTGATCTTCCAGGTGCAATCAGTGGAGGCGTGCAACTCTCAGAATCGCTGAAATAGGAAGATCAGTGAGGCAGGACTTTATCTTCATTGCGATGCGACCCTATCCGATCCTGTAAACTGGACTGTTTTCAGGCTCACTGAACGAGAATAACTGCGGCCAAACGGACCGGTCGCTTGGTCCTAAAATGTGGAGCGAAGGATGCAACTGAAGTTCGTAGAAGTCGTCTTCGGAAGTGCCGTATGAGCCAGTCGCAAGTTAACTCACTGAGGCAGCCGGTTGTCTCGATTTCCAAGCCACTAACAGAAGCGAAAAAGAGAAAAAGAGTTCAGTGCTTCCTTACGCAATGCATTGTCGGCTGAAATGTAACAGAAAAAGACACACCAAGACACTTGGTCGCAGAGAAAGGTAGTACGAAATAGAAAGATGGATAATCCTGATGACAGGGTGAAATGGCAGCGATGAAATACGGTAAGTACAATATGAAAGTCAACAACAGACACTCGGACCCTTCAAAACTCCAAGAGAGCGAGGGTAAGACGAGACCAGTACGATAATAGATGAGCCGGCGAAGTAAGTCTTTATAAGATAAAGCAATGGTGATCGGTGTCGATATCAGGAATCTCCGTCGAAAAAGGCAAGGGAGTAAGAGGAGTTAAAGGAACTGCAACAAGTACCCGGGGGTTGGAGGGGTTGTATGTTTGAAGTGTAAGATGAAAGAAGAGTAGGAGGTATTGAGGGGGAGGGAAGCGGAGAGAGAGAGAGAGAGAGAGAGAGAGAGAGAGAGATGGGCGAGGGAGGAGGAAGAAGGAAAGAGGAAGGAGGAGGAGGAGGAGGAGGAGGCTAGGAAAGACGTGATGGTGGTAGTTCGCAGTAGTAGTGGTAGTAGTGAGGTAAATAGTGGAGGGAATTCTAAATCTGGGAAGGCGGCGGTGAAGTCGGAGCGACGCATGCGGATTGCGGAGGCGTTCTACAACTCGACTAGCCGGCTCTTCCGAACGACGGGCTGACATTGGAATTTTGCACGTCCTCGGATAGTTAGCTAATCATGAGATGATCAGATTAATAAATTAGCTAGGTTATATTAGTGATGATAGTGATGAGATGAGCTCAGAGCAGTTAGGTAACTGTCTAGAAGGGATTACGATGTATAGAGATGAGTTACTTACCTGATCATGTAGGAGTACTGACTAACTATGTAGTGCTGATTACGTCTAGACCGACTCGTCAGGTTCCCGACCGGGACAGACCAACGATCTACACGTGCACTTTCCCTTTCCTTCAGCATAGGGCTTCGAAGTACTACTGTCTTGTACGCCTGGAGACAAGGCAGTATCTACTACTTGGTTGCACTAACCTGACACTCAAGGGAGAGATACATCCTATAAGTAACCTATGAACGGGTCGCGTTGCAACAATCGGATTTGTATCGCGCGTATTATACTCTGAGGAGGGGGCAACAATAAAGCAACATGACAAGAGAGTACCTATACTGACCATCGCAAAGGTACAAAAGCAGGCTACATGGAGGACCGATATCCATATGAGTATATTTAGACCAGAAAGCAACCGTCCCTCAATCCCTCTCTTTCTCTTTCGCACGCGCGCTCCCTCTTCTTAGCGAAGGTGGCAGAAGGCAATAGACGATAGTACTGAGGCCAAGATGGGATGTTTATATGTCCACTACCATGCTATATGCGTATCTATCTGAAACCAAGTAGATTTTGGCTTATCAAGAGATTGACTTGGGTGCTTACCATTCCTTAACTTCACCTGGCGCCGGTGGCTCAACCCGCACAACTTTATCGCAGTTGAGCAAACAAAGGGGGTCGTAAGCTAATTTGAGCTACGGGGAGTAGAACGCCCGCATTAGTACGAGTTTCATGTGTTATGGGGGAACATGGATGTAGGGCTACTCACCCGGCGCATAGCATCTACTGTAGACTCCCCTAGTTCATGTTGCAGGTAATCCCGCTTGACGAGACCAACTCCATGCTCGCCAGTAACTGTACCTTCTAGTTCAACAGCCCGCTTTACCATCCGATGAACCACAGCCTCGGCTGTTGCTTTCTCGTCTTTATTGAAGAGGATTATCGCTGCCGCGCGTTAGAGCTCATTCCAATTGGCTTGGGGTTGAAAGGCAGGTATCCATACCATGAAAATTGCCATCTCCGACATGACCGCACATCCCCGCCAACAACCCACTTTCAGTCATGTCTTGTTTGGTGGCCTCGATGATTTCGGGTAATTTGCTTATAGGGACAGCTACATCAGTCGTCCAAACGTGGTCTTCAGGACCTCGCCTCATAGACATAACGCTCCAAAGTGCTTGTTTCCGGGCGCTCCAGAGTTCTTGCATTTCGCTCTCACCTCGGGCAAACTCGAAGGACCGACCCGCAGTAGAAGAAACAATCTTCTGCACCATGTTTATTTGCTCCTTGACGCCAACAGGCGTACCCGCAAACTTGAAAAATATGGTAGGCGCTTCCTTCCAGTGTCGGCTGGTGGACTGACTTTCGTTGATGCACTTCATCTGCACGTCATCCAAGATCTCGACCCCAGCTACTGGGATGCCTTCTTCAACCACGCGAGTCACGCACTCTGCTGCATTCTGTATTGTCGAGAAACTCGCGACTGCGACATTTTGGCTCTTAGGTTTGACCGTCAGCTTCAACGTAGCCTCGGTCACCAGACCGAGGGTGCCTTCACTCCCAATAAAGAGTCTTGTAAGATCGTAACCAGCGCTCGACTTCCGTGGGCGTTGCCTGGTTTTGATGATGGTCCCGTCGGCAAGCACTACCGTCAAAGAAAGCACCCAATCACGCATAGTGCCATACCTGTAGGCGTTGGTTCCCGAACAGCCCGTGCCAATCATGCCACCGATCATAGCACCAGGGCCCGGATCCGGGGGAAAGAAAAGACCATCCTGAGCGATATGTTCATTCAGCTCCTCCCAGCCAACGGCAGGCTGGACCACGACGTCTAGATCCTGCTTATGGAGACCCAGAATACGGTCCATACGACGGAAATCAATGCATACACCACCCCGCGTGGGCGCAAAATGGCCCTCCAAGCTGGTACCGCCTGAGTAGGGGGTTACTGGAATTAACCGTTGATGGCAAACCTTCATGATCCGAGATACCTCCTCCGTAGTAGACGGGTAGAGGATGAGGAACGGTCTTTCTCCCTCTTTCAGGGCGTAGGAAGACCAGTCGGACCCCGCATGCATATCCAAGTCGGCGTTTTGTGTGGAAACATTGTCTTTCCCTAAAATCTCAACGAAGTCCGCCCAAGCAGCCTGTAAATTTGAGGGAGTAACGTTATGTCGCGGTGACTGTATATCATAAACGGGGCTTGTTGACGAAGTGGGAAGCTCAGCAGGTTTCAAAGAGCCCAGGTAGTAAGCTCCAGTGCAGAAGAAGGCCAATGCTAGCACAATGACATCAGCAATCAAGGTCTCGAGAGCTCCAGAAATGTTCATGAAGCGGGCCTCGGGCATTAGACATACCGAACATCAACGCCGCGTTGCGACTGCCCTGGGATTGGGACTGGAACTGTGAATATCGTTCCTGTTCAGCACGCTCACGTTTGAGGCGTTGCTGTGTACTTTCGTATAATTGATGCTTGAAGGACTGAGGTTTCTCATCGGCGCGATGGGGAACGGACCATTGCAAGCCCCTCCTCTGAGATCCTAAGCGTAGCGGATGGCTGAAGTAGCACCCGGCCCTTGGGAGAAGAACGCGCATGGCGCCCCGCGAACGAAGGTAAGAATCGGCTCTAATCATGATGAGAGTAGCCGGCGACAGTCAGCATGGAAGAGGGACCCTTGTTAAGACAGTAATTTTCTAAGGTGAAACCATTGCGTGGTGAACAGATGGATCCGCGGTCAAGCCAGGCGCAAACTATGAGAATTGAGGAAGAGATGGGCCGATGGTACTGGGAGACGGAGGAACATGAGTATCCGGATTGATGGATGGATGGTAGAACAGATGGTGGATGGAATGATTGCTAGCTAAGTTGGACTAAGCTTAATGCGGTAAGGCTGCGCTGCGGTAGCTCATCTACAAAATACTAAAAAAGCAGTTCCTAATCAGATAGTTTACCAGCCAGGGAACTCTCTACCACCCCGTATGCAAGGCGCCTTTTTATTAAGCAACCCGAATAATGTATTGAGTTGCAATATAGTCGGAATAGGCCATACTTGCTTCATTACATACCAATAGGACTACCTACACGCAGTCCTTCACTTTGAATGCCCGGCACTACTTCGTACTAGTTGTAAGCCAATCTACTACACGTCAGCCCGTTAGATTGTGCCAACCATGATTATCGGAGTGTACTGAGTATGCGCATTTTTCAATGGATGATTATGGACCGAGTAAACCAGTCCATTGGCCAGCCCGTGGTACAAATTAGTTTGCTATTTATTCTACACCCGAGCATTGAAGAATATATTTGGCTAGGTTAACTAACTACTATTTAGTATTACAGTTAACGTAGTTAATCACCTGAAATACTTACTAATCAATATAGCCGGTCAGCTGCCTTCTCCGGGTAAATTTGGCGCTGCGCCGGTTAATTCTGGACCAATGAAGGGCTTTCCACCCCGCCCCCTCTACCCCATACCTTAGTACTTACGTCGATACCTCCTACCAAGCTACCCAAGATGGATCGAGAAGCAACAAAATCCCTAGGGCGACATATCCGAAAACTAAGAAAAGACCGAGGGAAAAAAGGATAAATAAGGAAAGAAAGCATAAATTTCGAAAGCTGAAAGTTCAGTGACGATATCCGTTTTTCTAGCCATACTCTAGCTCAAGAGCTTCACCTCCTACAACATCTCGAGTCAGCTGGCTTTCTCCGTGTGCCTCTTTCTTTTCGCCCATCATGAGTACCCAGAATACCAGCGCCCAGGTATGTGCTTTGAACATTCATTATATAGGGTCAATGGTGGCTCATCACACCCACCATGAACTCAAAGTGGCACACCTTGAATGATCGCTAATGACCTCAATCACTACCAGAATCTTTCCTTCGTTCTTGAGGGAATTCACCGCGTCAAATTCGAAGACCGGCCAATCCCAGAGATAAAAGATCCTCACGACGTACTGGTGAACGTCAGGTTCACTGGTATATGTGGTAGTGATGTGCGTATCACCAAAAGAATTGAAGGCCTGCCTAGCTGACATGTCGGATATTTTCATCCTCAAGGTTCATTATTGGGAACATGGCTCCATTGGCCAATTTGTCGTCAAGGACCCTATGGTTCTGGGACACGAATCTTCCGGTATTGTCAGCAAGGTTGGCTCTGCCGTTACCAGTCTAAAGGTAGGAGACCGCGTTGCGATGGAGCCAGGAATCCCATGTCGCCGCTGCGAACCATGCAAGGCGGGAAAATATAATCTTTGTGTGAAAATGGCTTTCGCAGCGACACCTCCATACGACGGTACCCTGGCCAAGTATTACGTCCTGCCCGAGGACTTTTGCTATAAGCTTCCTGAAAGCATCACCCTACAGGAGGGTGCACTTATGGAGCCCCTTAGTGTTGCCGTCCATATCGTCAAACAGGCTGAGATAAACCCGGGTCAATCAGTGGTAGTCTTCGGTGCTGGCCCGGTTGGACTTCTCTGCTGTGCTGTGGCGAAGGCTTACGGTGCGTCCAAGGTTATCGCGGTTGATATTCAGAAGGGTAGGCTAGAGTTTGCCAAGAAGTACGCAGCAACGGCCACGTTTGAGCCAGCTAAAGCCGCGGCGTTGGAGAACGCTCAACGGTTAATAGCCGAAAATGATCTAGGCTCGGGTGCAGATGTTGCCATTGACGCGTCAGGAGCGGAGCCCTCGGTTCATACAGGCATTCACGTTCTGCGTGCTGGGGGAACATATGTCCAGGGCGGTATGGGCAGAAGCGAAATTACCTTCCCAATAATGGCGGCTTGCACCAAAGAACTGAACGTCAAGGGCAGCTTCCGTTATGGGAGTGGTGACTACAAGCTTGCAGTCTCCTTAGTAGGCACTGGAAAGGTAAACGTGAAGGAACTGATCACGGGTGTCGTCAAGTTCGAGGATGCCGAGCGAGCATTTGAAGGGGTTAAAGCTGGAAAGGGCATCAAAACGCTTATTGGTGGTGTCGATTCATAAAAGTCGTCAGACATTAGCAACATAGCAGACTGCAACCAGTTGCTTTGGACGTCAGTTATTCCTCACGCTTTCTACTTCCCTATCAGATGGCTTCCAGGTTCGAGGTCTTTTGGATCACAGAATGTCAACTGCGAGGCATCTTCAGGCAATTGATTCGGCCCAGAAAATATGATCATTTAACATATCTCTCGTGATCTTGAGAAACTATATCCCCGCTTCAGTTTGTGCTGACTATGGCTTGGCCATCACAAGCCTCTGCGTCCGAAGTAATCGTAACAAAGCTCTTGAGGATTGGCTGGATAACACACACCGCAATAACAGTTGATAACAATCAACTTCTGGAATGCATATTCAAACTCAAATAACTCGCTTACTGAACATGGTAGTCACAGTGCTTGACTATAGGGGGTATCATGCTGCACGAACCAAGCCTACCGGCCGTCATTCACCTCACAAATTACGAGAGGTCAAAAAGTAAGCCTTCGGCCGAAATGACGCAGTGCGCTTCCACGACATAATTTGGACAACCGACCAGCCGTTTTGTGAGCAAAAATCAAGATGCGGTGGGCTCATTTTATCGTGGTAGGTTGAGACCAGTGTCGGGTGTGATCATCGGAAAAAGTATGAAAAGAAAACCGCGAATAACAAAGCTGTTGATTAGTGGTAATCCGGCCCAAAGAATACTAACAGCAGCCGCGACCTCTCCTCTGGTGCGAATCGCTCAAGCGAAATACATCTTCCCATTCCCTCATGCCAGACTTCCAATTGTTAGTAGTATTCTTTCTTGGATGTCTGTGATGTAATTGGACAGCACCGTCGTCGAGCGACATGCGACTTCGATTGCTGGAACCGTCGCTCGTGCCATGGCCATAGAGAGCCCCGTCACCGTATTGAATCCCGCTTTGGGGGTCGTCTGGGTCAATCTCGCCCAACTCGATCTTTGTGAGAATTATCCGGGCCAGCCGGTTGAAGAGCTCTTCTACGCCCTCACCCGTGAGAGCTGAGATCTCGACTGCAACGGGAATGTTGGACTTAGCCGCCCAGTGCGAAGTCTCTTCGGTACTGACCTCACGACCATGAGGTGCATGTGTGGCCGTCATTCTCGTTGTGGTATCATAGTTTGAGCGTACGGAGCCGCCGCTTGATCCAAAGGGAAAAGATACCTTGCTGGATGTACTAGACGGTGTGGGAGGTGGGCGTGCATTGTCATCAAGGGGATCGCAAGGTGGCACGGAGTCGGAGGCAAGGTCTGACTTATTACCGGCTAGTAGGACGCTCAGATTGGGGGAAGCAAGTGCACGTGCATCCATGAGAAACGTGGGAAGAGAGACGAATGACGCGTGGGATGTTATATCATAGATGAGAATGGCCCCTGCAGCTCCTCGGTAATACGACCTGGAGACGGATCGAAACCTCTCCGTTCCAGCGGTATCCCAAAGCTGCAATTTGATACGTGTTCGTCGCGGCCCGGTGCCTAATTTGACAATCTTCGAGGAGAATTCAACCCCAATTGTTTGGGATGACAGCACTCGCCCTAAGGGAGAGAGGCATATTAGCGACCGCGTCCAACTCCGGAATGAGCGTGGGAAACCAGGAGGGTTGGCATAATTTTGTAAATGGGGGGATGAAATTCCAATCAGAGATAGAGTACCGTACATTCGCTCTTCACAAATCGGTGTAACACGCAAGACCTGCAATAGCGAAGATATCAGTGACCGACGAAGCCTGAGGAGGTGTCACGGATCATTATCTTCAGTATCAGGACTTACTTTCCCGCCCCGCTCGGCCCTAGAAGAATGACCTTGGCCAGATAGTCATACATGCTCTCGAGCTCCTACATGGTATTAGATGCCGCTAATTGAAAGGGGCTTTATGATGGGAAGCGGGCGCACTGATGGCGGAGAAATGTCAACACCATATGGGATAGCGCCGCCATACATACCTGATTACTTTCGGGGAGAGAAGCAGTCGACGAAGCATTTGAGAGGTTCCTTTGACGCACCATGGCGCCAGAAACAAGCCATCTAATGGCCCGCTGATTGGTAAAGGGGTAAAAGAAGGAGGGCGGCGAAGAGTCTAGGTACTACGGCGGGTGGTACCTTGGTAGAAAGGACTTGCCCACGATTCGCCGTTCATGCGGGCTCGGGGGTAAAAAGTACTATGGTAGACTACTATCGGCATTCCGGCACCTGCCACGCCCCTGGCTTATCCACTATTCCACTTATCAAGCGGCTCTATCTTTATCTATGCAACCATTGACTACAAATTATACGAGTTATGGATGTCGATATCTCCGAGGTCCTCGGCGGCGAGTTTTATCCTTTTAATTTTCCATTTTCATTCTTATATTTACAAATGTGGTTCACCATTTCCTCGTCCGGAATCCAACAATATGTCCCCCAGCAAAAGCTGAAGTGCGTTCTAATAAGCCAACCATAACTGCAATGCATGTTTCCACCCAATGGTCACTTCCACAGTAGAATTCACAATCACTCCCGGTCACCATACAGATGACAATTTCTCTGGCACACTGCTAGTGATGCCTTTCACACATGCGAATTATGGTTGTCCATCCTTGGCAACATGACCTATCCATGCGATGATTACACCAGCAGCACTGCACCGTAGTCGGAGATTGAGACCTTGCGGCAGAGGCAGGAGATTCGGTACTTGATGAATCGACACACTGTCCTGAAAAACTATTTTTGCGTATTTTAGAATCGATACATTCTTGGCCAGCACGTGGTTCACCCTTGTCAGTGGAGAGCTTATGCTCTTTGGCGACTGAAGATGTGCTCGGCGAAGTGAGTTTCGCACGCATTCTCGATGGCAGATCGTGCCAATGGCCGCAGTGACAGCAGATGACAAAGAGCATTTTGAACGGGCCGACTGTCTGTACATTCCTCAATTGCTCGATGCGTCCGTTCATTCGCCCTTCCGGCGTGTTGCATAAGTTGGAGGTTGAAGCTCCCACACTGAGTGACACGTCGTTGTCATTATTGTCCAATGTACTTGGTACAGTGTAATCAGTGTGAGGAAAGCTGGCTGGGGTAATGCCGTCCTGTCGAGGAAGCGAAATAGATGAGCAGGCTTCGTCTGCAGTGTTGTAATCTTCTGATCGTGGCTCTTCAGAAGATGCGGATATTGACGAAATTGAACCTCTCCGTTGTGTAAGCTTGCTCTCATAAGGCATATGACAGGCTTCAGGTCTCTGCATCCTAGGAGCACCCTGAAAGCTCTGGGCTAGATTTTGACAAGCTTGAGTTCTATAACGCGGTGGAGTATCTTGAGATTCTAGGTGTCCGTCCCGACCTGCATGCTTCGCCTGGTAGACGTCTAAATCAGTTAGGCTGCCATTTGTGTTGTGAGTCCGAGAATCCGACTTCTCGACTCCAGGCTCTCGGCATGTCACTGCATGGGCTTCATCTTGGTTTGTAAGAGTGCGTTTGCTCGAAGATGTTTGGAGATGGTGACTAGCCCACGTGTAGCCAACAACAGAGCGCTCCTGCGGGTTCCCAACCATACTGTGAGGCTGTGTAAGGTCTCCTTCGTCTTTATCTTCGTATCTCCCGGATAGACGCCTTGTAACATGTGGATGTGTCCGCTTATACTTGGAATCTATAGCCTTGATAGAATCCATGGGATTTGATTTATCTTCGATAGGAGCTTGCAAAGTTGTTGTGTTTGAAGTCTCCTTAGCATTTGAAGACAGATTGGATCTGCTGTCCACAGTTGAGGCCACTGTAAGGGGTGATGAAACGTAGCTCTTATACTGTCTCTGAAGATAACGGTCCGTGGAAGTTCTGTTCGGTGCAGCCCTCAACGAATTGGCTTGTAAGTTAGTCGATGACAGTCCTAGTGAACTTCTTGAAGTCTTTCCACCATCAGCTGCCACCTGAGCTATCCGAGTGCTTTTGTAGCTACCGCGAGTATGCTTTTCCCGTTTATTCAGCAGTTCCGGGGAAGACACCGTCAATGACCGACGATGTCCAGATAACCTCACGTTGCCAGACTCCCTACTTTTAAGGTTGAGGGTTGCTGCGAAGGACAAGCGGTCCAGGTCTGTAGGGACAGGAAGACTAGGGGCTTTTGATGCTACCCTATGCGCGTTCTTGTCGACGGAAACGAGGTGGTCTTGTACAGGGCTTTGTCCGTGCGACAAATTGTTTTCAATACTGCGAGGATCAGGCCCGGTAGAATCATTTGCCTTCGATTCTGTACTGGTAGGATTCGCCGGCATTAGCTCCCGCGTGGGTGCAGGCTCAGGTTTGTATGGGGCCAGCGCGTTGTTGATGGAGAGCTCTTTGGATATCACGGCGCCGAAGCGATTTGGCATCTTCACAGCAATATGAGATCGAGCTGCGTGCGGTCCCGAGTGCAGTCCAGATTGTGATCTTTCGGCGTCAGTTGGATAATCTGCGTCACTTCTGCTTAGGGAATTTGAACGTGACCGGGAACCTCGCCTCGAACTTGAGAAGAGAGAAGAGAATCGGCGTGATGGGCGAGACTCATCTTCACTCACACTCGATGCCCTACTTGAGCTTCTTATAGGTTGTTTTTTGGTGAGGCGCCGGGACTCTTTCTGCTGTTGGCTTATCCCATGGCGTTGCTCGCTCTTTTCGAGGTTAAGAAACCTCTTCTCAAGCTCCAACCTTTCTGCTTCTAGGCGCCTTGTAGCCCTTCTTTCATTCCTGTCCGTCGCCTTGTTGATCGAAGTAGCGGGGCTGAATGACCCGTGCTTGCCAGAAGACATATCCATGACGGAGGATGAGTCGGACAGTTGCAATGTTCCCTGGCTGGTAGTGTGTGCTGATGACTTCACGAGCTCATTGTCAACCAAACCCGGAAAGGTTGGACCTTGGGCTATACGTGGACCGACATCTTCATTTGTTCTTATGAATGATGCGGATCGACTTGTACTGCCGCCTAGGCCAACCTCGTCTGTCTGCTGTGTCCTCTCTCGCTCTTGCCCAGGGGTCCTTATGGTTCGAGCCTCTATCGAATCCGACGATCGCCTGCGCCTTTCCTTCTTTGAGGTATTACCGTGGACATCCACACACACCGCCGAGTTATCCATTTCCCCCCTGCATGCTGATGGTTGTGTTGTGGCGACTGCCCGCGCCAATCCCGCAAAAAAAAAAAAAAAAAAAAAAAAAAAAAAAAAAAAAAAAAGAGAAGAAGAAGAAGAAGAAAGAAGAAAGAAGAAAAAGAAAGAGAAAAAAAAAAGAAAAACCCTTACATTCACATGTTTATCCAAATGGAAGACCCGTTGTAGCTGCTGTGAGAGAGAAGACCTGCGCTGTCTTTTAGTATGTCCTTTTTCACTGCTGTCCATCTCGACCGCAATATAGTGTCTCTCGCGGGGAGATTCATGCCAATGCTCATTGCCCGTGAAGATTTATCATCACCAGTAGCCGACTGTGACTCAAGAAATAGTTGATGGAAAACTAGGATTGTCCTCGATTGAAAAAGGATGCCTGCAGATTCGAGCGCATGTATATAGTGAGTGTATGTGTTGTGTAACAACAGTGACTAATTGGTAGCCAGCAATATGGTCGGATGGGATTCAGGACCGCTCGAGCACCCTATAGCACATCTTTATGCATCTGAGCAGCTCTACCAGGAACTAAGTCAAGAATCAAAGAGATGAGCATGTGCATGAACTTGAAAGAAGATCATTGCGCAGGCCAAGCAAACAGGTAAGTCGGCAAGGGGCCATCGATCAAGCAGTCATAACCCAGACCAAGTGAAGGGTGACGGTCGCACATTCAACTGGACACTGAGCGAGCAGTAAGCAAGAGCACTTAGGCGCAAGGCAAACAGAAATTAAACGAGCTTACTACTGGGTCTACTGTGACCTCAGCTGGTTGCTGTAGTCAGGCACGGTGGGGGGTAGGGCAGGCATTGTCGAGCCTATGCCTCTTCTGGACTATACATAAAAGGCTGCATCTGAAACAACAATCCTTAATTAGTTATCAATCATAAAAATCCAAGACCGATCTCCTCCTCACTTTTCCTACACATACCGCTTTTTCTTTCATATCGATCCCAACATAGTGTGCGTCTGTCTCCCTTCATCCACAACAAATCCCTCCCCGCAGGCCCAATGTGGCTGGCTCCACGGGGTTATTTAAATTTAGTAACGGGAAGGGTCCAACAACCACATAAGCAGAAATGTTTTGTATGTTAGTTACTATGCATTGCCAACTATATATACTTACTGTAATTATATATATAAACATATATTAGAAAGGACAGTGTAACTATGTTCCATGCTTAAGCGAAAAGATACCAATGCTTATCTGCTCGTTGTGAGCATTAAATTCGGTGTATCCATTCTGCTCCTTTGGCTTAATCTTGCTTTCTGACCAGAAATCAGCAAAGTGTGAGCTCATGGTTCAGCGTAGCCACCCGCGCGATACTCTCCCCAATAGAGCATCCCTACTTTAGCCTGCTATCCTATATCAACAGCTGTCAGCCCAACGTATAAAAATTGATTCAACAGGATCAATATATATGAGTCTCAAACGCGATCATTAAGGGCAATTCTTCCTGTCTATATTGGTCTAATTGTTTTTATTTATTCTTATTTTTTTTCAGCTGCAAATGGCGGACCACTCTAAAGCCACGTCTCAAAAAGCACAATCTGAGTATACGATGCCTATTGCCTCACCCCCGCCATATTCTGCTTCTGCAACTACTGGAACCGGAAGTCAAGGGCCCCTCCTTTATCACAACTGGCAGGAGACTGTGCCCGATACAGCAACGCTTCCACCGCCACCGATCGCTGGATTTTTCTCCTCAAGTACAGGAAATGCCTCCTGCGACGATGCAGAGCGTGCCCACGCCTTTTGCGATAAGCTTCCCCTGAATATTCCCCTCAGGCCATCTGATTCTCTGTACAGATCTGCTCAGGAATACGATCTGAACCCTGCAGAGTCACCAAGCTTTGGTGGGAAGCTATCCGTTGTCAACAAGGGGCACTGGGAAGGGTCCACAAGAGATG